CGCCGTATAACAAGATGTGCACTAGTGAGTTGTTCGCGTCGCTCAGCGTCTCGTGCCCGAAGGTGTAAGAGCATCGGTCGCATTACTCTCCCAAGTGCATCAAGAGGGGTGTGCCCTTCTGGGAAGATGCTGTAGAAGTGGTCGTTGCGATGAGGAGCAGATTTCTTCCAGGTGTTCTTCTGTTTCTTCACAAGTAAATCACTCAATAAGGCTCACTATTGTACCGAAACAACTTGATTTGGCTTTACGGTACTGTGCTAGCCGTGACCCATACCCATCAGTGGAAAAGTCTTCATCCACCGTTCGCAAACCACTGCGCGTGATAGTCATCCATCCCCTTCATGAATCCTCCTAAGCATCTCAAACTGCTCTAGTGTGGGAACTTCCAGTCCTCGGGGCCCTCGGGGCCGGGCCAAAAGAATCCGCCATCCTTGTCCCAAGGCTCGTCAAACTCGGAGGAAGAGTCATAATCCGATACATGGCGGCATCGGTAACAGCGGTCCACGGACTTGTCGAACGGGACTCCATCCCGGTATGCTGCTGCGCAATCAGCGCACACGGTGTTCCGGATCCTGTCCATGCAGACGGCGCACTGTGTCCTGAGGAACTCCGATGGCTTATCGGAGGACTTCTTGCAGGTCACTATGCAGCCATGCTGCTCCTTGACCGGGCGTTCGTGCCAAACGATCCTGTCTTTGCCGCTGTGAGCGGCCGTGGAAGTGGCCAAGAGGGCCACGGCGGCGGCGACGGAGAGGAGGAAACGCATCTTTGGTAAGGGCCTGGAGGTCTTAGTTAGTATTAGTAGGGAAACAGGTTAGGCAAGTAGTACGAGAGTGGTATCGTTTTGAAACTATTTTCCATTAGCCAGTTGTAATAAGTAAAGGGGAAGCTGTTCGTACATTTGCGTGGGGTTGTTTCTCCTAAGACTTGATTGACTTGTGTTGAGACTGGAAGTTACTGCTATATGGTGAGAGGAAAAGGACATGAGAGGAGGGATGTGAAGGCTTTTATATGAACACAAGTCGAATAGAAATCGCTAGACCTTTGGTAAGCTAACGAAATTTCTCTATCGCACTGTTGCAGAACCATGCCTATACATGGACAGAATTAGCATTACCGAGATCTCATACGAGAACGAAAGCGATTTGCAAGTGGCCTCAGGTCACGAGGATCACCAGCCAATCGTGTGTATGGCGTCGCGAATTCCGGTGAGTTATTCAATGACCTTCAAGACGTGAATCTGGTCGACCCAAGCAATAGGATAATGTGCTTCCCGTAGTTGACAATGGTTCATCGTATGCTGCGTATGTGTGAGGCTCTCATAAGAGACAACCGTTTTTTTGTTCGTTCGTACCTTGGCTCAGGCATCTAGTACCAGAATTCATTGCTTTCGCGAGTGCTCCAATCTAAGGGTAAATTTTGGTATGGACGTAGTTTGGAATAGGTAGGCTTTGAGTGGTTCGTCGGTACCGGTTATCGCGGAACCAGTGAGCCTGGCACAGAACATTATCTGGGACGTACTCGCTGGATCATATACATTGATTCCTAGGGGCCAACAGACCGCTTATACTTGCATGGCGCGATTTAGTGATGAGATACGGCCTCGAGATATGAGCTTCATCGCATGCGCCATGCTCCTAGCTATGCACTATCCTGGCGTAACGTTTGCAGTTCCGTGGCAACCCAAAACGCGTACAGTATAGTCGGAATTCGACATGATGCACCGCTGCTCATTCTATGTACCAGGCCAGGAAAAAAAGGGATATCGAGCATCCCCGTCGAGAGTTGGGCATCGTAGCCAAACCACCAAAGTCATGATGCCTACGCTGTCGTAACGCCTGACACCGGGTATGAATTAGCAAGGTAAAACTCAGAGAGCGGAATGATGACGAAAGCGCTCTACGAAAGAGTGATGTCGCTACCTTCCCCATTCTGTTCCATCGTAGTATCGTCCCCATCGCCGCCTGCCAGGACCTTGGTCTGAGGTCGGTATCCGTCTGGTGGGCCTACACCAGGTGTGCACGCTGCGACATTGCCATCCTCGTCGACGAACTCGAAGTTGTAGCGGGACAGCAGATGAGGGATCGCCGAAAGTTGTGGTCCGTAGCGCGCGGTATTATCGTAGAGCTCGAACAACGGAACGGCGAGGAGTTTCATGTTCTTTGGAACGCTGAGAACCTCTGCGAAGTATTAGCAATTGTACATATTGTGGAAGACAGGCGACTCGAGTCGACATACTGCTACGGGGAAGCTGGATGAAGTACAGCTTCTTGCATTCCTTTGGCCTGGTGACATGCGCAGGGATGAAAGGGTACATGAAGGTCTCGAAGTTGGGCCGCCACCACTGCGCCAGCGTGTCGCCAACTACCCACTCGTCGTTTACGCCTTCGCCTGTGAACTGTGTGCCCACTGGTGCGAGGCGCTCGTTCAGCCTCGCCTTGAAGCCCTCAATCTCGTCGTCTTCGGCGCGGAGGTAATCGCCAGGTCTGTCTGACGTCAGTGAGGGTACAAGATGGAGGATGCGAAGACATACAGCTTGAAGAAGGCGTTTGCGATCTGCAACATAAGGATGTGCGGGTGGTTGTGCTCATGGCAGACCAGGATGCCTTCGCAGGTCCGTCGCATGCCATGCTCCGAGTAGTGCTCTTCTAACCGCTTGAGCCGGGCAAGGACGGAAGGGTCTTCTTCGGGCTGGCCATCCTTGGTGCCAAATGTGTAGTTGCTTAGAGGGAACAAGCGGATGGTCTTTGGCTGGTTGCCGTTGAAGTCTTTGGGAATGACGGGGCTGCTTCAATTAGCTAATGCAATAGGCATGGCTTGTCGGACGTACGGGTATGAGCTCTGGGAAGCTTCCTTGACTATGGTGGACATGGTGGGCGCGAATGGGTCGTGTAAGCGGTGGGTTGCTTGTTGCGTCGCGACAATCGAGCAGTCGCGGCGAGCTTGCAGGGATTCAGGGTCTCGCTACACGTGATGATGCGCGGACCTGGGGCTGCCCCACGGGAGCTGCCACAGATGCACCACGCTGTCGTCATCACCGCAACTAAACTTTCAAGGTTGTCAAGAACTCATTGATCGCGCGTGGTATCAGTATGGCACAGACAGCTTTGATCACCGGTGGTAAATAGCCTCCACGTATGTGTTACTGCTAGCTGACCGCAGAGCGAAGCTAGTGGTCTGCTCGGCCGGCAAGTGCAGCGAGAGTTCTTGTTAGATGGCTGGAAGTCTGTCGGCACTGGTCTGCATCGCATCACTGCTCCAGATGTGGTGAAGCTGGACATTTTGGATCAGAATGAGATCGCCAGGGTGCTTGATGAAGTCAACCCGAAAGTCGTCGTCCACTGTGCTGCCAACCGCTTCCCTGACTCTTGCACCAATGACCCAGAAGCGGCCAGGAAATTGAACATAGACGCGAGTCGAGCGCTGGCTGAAGCCACCATCTCTCGGGCAATCTTCCTCATATACATCTCAACAGACTACGTCTTTGCAGGAAGACCTGGAGAAGCTCCTTACAAGACAGATTCGACGCCGAGCCCACCTAATACGTAAGTCTGGGTTTATCACACTATAGTCGTCGCGGATTTTGGGTCGTTCATCCATGTCTTCGGAGTCTGCTCCAAGAACCACGCTATCTCAGGATAATGCTGGGCGAGGTGTCTGATCACAGCTGACACTCCATCAGGTATGGCCAAACCAAGCTGGAAGGCGAACAGGCCGTTCTTGAGGCTGCTGCCAAAACTGGCGCAAAGAACAAAGTCGTCATTCTTCGAGTACCGGTCCTCTACGGATCCTGCGATGAGCCCAAAGACAGTGCAGTCAATGTCCTCATGTCGCAATTGTGGAACGCCCAACAGATAGAGCATGGTCAACCCAAAATTCAAGTCGACGACTATGCGCTTCGATACCCTACCAACACTCAAGACGTTGGCCGAGTATGCCGCGACATAGCGAAGCTGTATCTTGATCCCGCGAACGCGTAAGCCAAACCCGCGTCTTCGATTGATGAGATGCTTCTCTGATACAGTGCTGACGGCCTGTTATAGGAAGCGCGAGCTACCCAAAGTCCTTCATTTCAGTTCGGAAGACCGCATGACTAAATGGCAGATCTGCCAAACATTCTCCGATATCATGGGGTTGTCGCTCGACAATATGGAGCCCTTCAAACCTGACGAAGAACCAAAAGACGGCACCATCAGGCCTTACGACTGCCATCTGGACACTAGCGCGCTACGGGACCTGGGTATCGATGTATCAACAGTTGACTTCCGCACATGGTGGTAAGTTCTACGCGCTGTCGCTTTTCACCGCTCACGATTTTGCAGGAGGCGAGAAGTTGGGGCTTTCCGCTGAGGATTATCCCGGTTGACAACACACAAACGTCTATCGGTAGATCATCAGCAAAGCCTCCAGAAAGTGACAACCTTGTGCTCTTGCTGCATAATGGTCAGGTGTCTCAATATTGCTAGTCGCAAAGCCAAGATTGCGACGCCGGTAGATCTCCGCGACGTGCCCCAAGTATAGCTATCCGTACCTGCGTTTTTACTGTTACAGAAAAGTCTGAACCCACTTACCGCACATCTCGGATATCGCATTGGATGTTCCAGCGCCGGCCCGCAATCGTCGCGTTCCGAGGTTGTGGTTCTTGCCCTAATCGGGCCTGCGGTCGCTAAATGATTGGATGGTAGCCATCTTTGCGGCGCAGTCTCGCGCCTTGAGTTTTGGGGGCGCTTATGCTCCACGATAATGCTGTTAAGTATCTATCCTCTCAGCGTGTAGAATGCCTGAATCTACGTCCGTTGCTTTGCATTCCTCGCGTCGCGCTTCTTTTTCGTTTGCTCGTCGCGTATCCTTTTCTTTGCGATGGATGCCAGTCTAACGCCTGTGGCGCGATCAGGCTTCCCGGATGCTATTGGACGTAAGAAGTCGAACACCATCGTTTCGATTTTTGAGCGTAATGAACAGCATGAACGTACGTTACAAGTTTTGGGTTACCTAGGGCTATGGGCTATGTTAACGTAGAATTAGAAACCAAGACATGGAAACCATCAGCGCTGCGCGCCCCGGTCCTTATTTTGACCATCACAATTTGCTGGGCCCTAATCACCGTCCTACAGGTGTTACTCTCCAGGAGTCAACGGGACAATGGTATCATCTTTGCACCCAAGATAAGCGACCTTCCTTTGAGCCGAACATTCCTCTACCTCTACTTCCCGACCATTGCCGCAGTCATCTTCAGCATATATTGGGCATGGATCGACCTAGAGACCAAACGTATGGAGCCTTACTATCAGCTCAGTAAGGAACAGGGCGCTCTGGGAAAAGACTCACTACTTCTACATTACCCTTTCGACTTCGTACCACTGGTTCCATTGAAGGCTGCCAGAGACAGACATTGGCCTGTATTCTGGGCTTCTCTCGCCGTTGTTCTAGTAACCATGGGCTTGGTACCCACACAAGCCGGTATCTTTTCTACGCAAACCATCACTCGAAATGCAACAAGTCCATTTGACCAGTCGACGGCCTTCATGCCAGCCCGCAATCAGGCATCGAATATGACACTACGATTCGCGCAATCGACTTACGCAATCGCAGCTCAGAACGAGACGCTTACGCAGTACATGGCACGTAACTTTACGCTTGCGCCGATTAGACCAAAAGCCATCTCTCCCCACGCATCTATATCGCACGGAAACTGGTCTGCCCCAACGACGATGTATAGTGTAGATCTATACTGCGAGCCTGCTATCTTCAGTAGAAACTCAGCACGTAATGGTCTTGTCGCCAACAGTACCAACGGATGCTCTTTTCATCTAGGCTTGGATGGCAACATCACTATGGGCGGTAACAAAGCCTGGCCAGGGCGAACTGTACTCAACAACAAAGAGTTTACTGCCATGTACGTGGGCTACTGGAATCCCCTAGGGTTTGCCGACTACTCCCTCGACAATTATTGTCCCACTACCAGTAATACGACTTTCTACGCTGCTATAAGCCGCAACAAAGCCAGAGGTACCGATGCACCACAAAACGTCACCGCCATCTACTGTTGGCCAACTTACTATCAACAACCCGTACTGGCAACTGTGGATGCAGTCTCTCTGGAACCGTCACTCATCCGACCTACGGGCGCAAAGAAGCCTTTGGAATCAAGCTTATTTAACACTACCCGCCTGGAGCAGTTGATGAGTTCAAACTCACTGGGCGATGAAGTGAGAGGCGATTTAATACCAAGTAAATCTGTACCTGATTACATTGACTCCATCGCGCGAACGGGTTTGAGCTTGGGTAGTGGGCCCATGGGTGCCGGTGTGGTGCAGCCGATGGTTGGACTAGCTCTGGCCGTCAGCAACTTGCCTCTGGAGGACTACCTAGACTGGAAGGTACTGGCCAAGTCTTACGCAGACGGATATCGATTGATGTTCGCTCGAGCGATGCGAGATGTTCTCGATCAAGATTTCCGGACCTCCAACAATGTCACTGGGCACATCATAGACACGACGGAAGCCGTGCTTATGGAACCCGTCTTTGTTTACGTTGTGGAAGGATTTCTTGGTGCCATATCTCTGGCGACTATCGCGCTGCTGTACCTTTCGCTCACGCGTTCAAAAAATCTTCGCTCGAATCCTAGCACTATCGCTGCTATCATGGCGATGGTGGCTGACAACGAGCCACTACTGGCTGATATTGAAGGACTGGACTGTTGCACGACGAATGGGATTGAGGAGTATCTTGGACACAAGCGTTACAAGCTCGTTGATGATGGGACATCGGTCGGGTGAGTTTGGTTCAACACAAGGGCCACAATGCATTCAAGCTGATAATTTTGACAGAATTATTGAACTTGATCAATCTCCCGAGATTATCGCAGACGAAAACCTGCCTATGCCAGCAGCACAGCATCGCGATACACCGACCGATATCGCGAAGCCAATTCGACCCACCGAATTTAGCCTATGGGTAGCTGGACTCTTCGTCAGTGTATTAATCGCATTGGCAACGGGTCTTGTTGTGCTTTTTGCAAAAGCTCGTTTACAAGGTACAACACACTATTTTACCACTTTCAGCACTTGCAATTATTGACTGGTGAAACAGGTTTACCACTTCCCTCAAAGAACACGCTTGTGCAAAACATCCTCGAAAACTACATCCCCACGGCTGTAGCTACACTCATTGAACCAATCTGGGTTCTGTTCAATCGTATGCTTTGCATGCTGCAACCCATTGAGGAGCTGCAAAGCTGTAACGCGCGAGCCAAGAAGTCAATCGACCTCGATTATGCTTCCCTACCACCGCAATTGGTCATTTTGAAGGCCCTGAGGTCGAAGCACCTCGTACTTGCTGCGGTTTGTACCATGGCGTTGCTGGCAAACCTCCTTGCAGTCAGTCTTGCTGGTCTGTTCAATCAAGCTACTATCGATATTCAGCACGCGATAGTGGCGGATCAACCTCTGCAGTTCAAGTTCATGCCGGTGGATGGAAATATAGGCCCAGTAGGCGGTCAAAATTTCGGCTCTAATGTTGCGTCTGGCGCTTACCAAGGCAGCAATGGAGAGGAGCAGTTCTTGATTGCGGACTCATATCTCAGGCAAGGTATACCGCTGCCAGCGTGGACCGACGAGAACATGTTCTACCTCCCGTTCGCTGCTCAACAAACGAATACCACGGCGACGAAAGACATTGAAGCCAGAACCAGAGCTTTTGGTGCAAAGCTTGAATGCAACAGCCTCAGGTTCGACAAAAGCTTCCAAGCCGGAATCATTAGACCTCTATCGACGAGTGAAGCTATTAACCCATCGGTCAACATCACAGTGACCACCGATACTGGGAGGAGTGTTCAGTGCACCAAGACCGGAACCTACATGCGTCAAGGTCCGATTTCCACCACTGGAAACTCTTGCGTTACGGGACCAAGCGCGGCTGAGTTGGCGTTCATACTTGAACCAATGGCGAACTCTACTCAGGCTGACGCTGAGGTGTGCATGGGATCAATCGTCTTGGGATGGCTCCGAAATCCCACTGGTTCTTGCGGAGAGAGCAAACCAGTGTCTCTGGATGAGCACAACTCAGCTTTCGTACACTGTCGCCCTAGGTTGATGACTGGCTTTGCGACTGTTCGAGTAGACTCCAGCGGCCGGCTCCAAAAACAAGCGCAAAACGTTACCCTCGACAACGACCAGCCGAACGCGATCTTCAGCAACGATTCCATAAACATCATTGGACAGTCCAATCGGTACATATTCAAGGACGATAGCCCCGGGTGGCACAATGACAGCTTTGCCGACGGCTTCATAAACTACTTCGCTAGCCATGCAGTGAATAGTAGTCGGCTAGTTGATCCACACCACGGCCTTCCCAGCTTCGACGATATTGAAGCACCTTTGAGCAAAGCGTATTCACTTTTGTTTGCGATATGGATGGGTATCAACAGAGACACTTTGCTCATGCCTAATCGGGCAGAGAGTCTACCGTCGCTTCGAGGCTGGCGCATAGAGCCCGAAAAGCGTCTTTTCATTTCTACGCCAATGTTCGCGATCTCTGAAGCTATATTCTGCATCTATGTCATCGTTGCAATCCTGGTTTACATGCGCCGACCTGGCCAGTATCTCGCACGGATGCCCACATCAATTGCCTCTGTGGTCGCCCTGTTCGCCGCCAGTAGCGCCGTACTAGACATGCGAGGGACATCTTATTTGGACAAGAAAAGCCGAGCGCAGCATTTAGAGGAGATAAATGCGAGGTATGGGTATGGAAGTTACATTGGTGGCGGAGACGGACGCGTTCATATCGGCATTGAAAAGACGCCATTTGTACGAACTAGGTCAAAAAGCACCTGATTGGAGAGGAAAGTCGGTTCTTGGCGCAAAGGATCAATCAATTGATTCTAATCGCTAGAAGAACGTTCGTAATAATACTTCGCAGCTGTAATTTAGCGGCTATCCAATGAGAAGTCGAATATACATCTCTTCGAAATCTTTGCTTCCACTCTGCAATTGTTGTAGTGAAAACCAATACTCTCTCTACGACAAAAGCTTGCAAGAGTGAAGACAAGCTCAATCTTCCGGCCGAGTCACGAACTCTATGCAGAGTAGCTGAGTAGACGAAGCTTGATCAGAGCCGCATAGAGGGGATAGTGGAGATTGGAGCCGAGCAGCATGTGATGCAATCACGTGCCCTTCCCCAATCCGATTCGTTGGCAGATGCATTATCTACTACGACGATCATAGCGGCGAACGAATCCCTGTAATCTGTGCATATGTTGGAACCAGAAGGATCTTCCGGACGTTGCTCACTAACATCCCGTCCAGTACAGAACTTCCAAAAAAGTAATACAGTTTCCGTAAAGTGTTGAGGTGGAGAAGAACCAACATTACTTTGACGAACTGCAACTCCAATGCATTGGCCAAGCGATGCAGATCTAAGGCTTGGATAACATTTGATTTCAGGCTACCAATAGATTCTTCGCGCTGCAAGAATTGTGACAGGTGGCTCTTGTTGTCTTGCTTGCTGCTGATCGAGACTGCTCCTAGGCAATATCGTGATGAACTTGGTCGAGTAGTATGAGAAATGAGCCAGCAATTGAGCACTGTCCATGTCGAACCTGCAGCCGGTGCTAGATGGTAGCTGCCACGAGCGCCGGATCAACAAAGACGAACTCATGCTTTCGTGTAATATTCATCTTTGCTTATTCAATGAGAACATTGGCGAAGGGACGGCAAATACGGCACTTTAGCACTACTACTACTACTGCATCTATTCCAGCCCGTTCTGACCTCAATGTTTGAGTATGCAGGCTATCCTTTTTCCACAAGGTGGAACGGCGGTTTAGCAGCGACTGGTCATTCCAATTGAAGCCCTTGCCCTATGAATTTAGTCATGGACGTCATATGCATGTCCGATGGGTGATGGGGTTCTTTCCCAACGTGCGTGCGCAGAATTCTGATGGCCATCATAGCGTTATTGGTAATAACTCGAGCTTGGATGTGGCATTCACTGCGCGTGCACTTAGAGCATCACGTAGGACCACTGCGTGTGTCCCGGTATTTCTTTACACAGGAATAGATGATTGAAAGGTGTGTGTGTATGGTCGTGGAACGTTCCTCGGTACGGCAGGAAAATTACACAAGAATACTAAGAGGCCATCACTAGTAGATAGCGTGTTGGTCTTATGAACGGTTGATAAAAGTATAAGTCATTATTGCTAATATACCGACAGTCTAACGGGATCGACGATGGCAGGTGTTCTGTACCGGAGAACTCAAGGTGCCCAAGATGCGAAGAGCGCGCATCGATTTAGTCAGATTTCAAGCAACCTTTGGCGATCCAGTAACGTTTGCCGCTGGCCTTTGTTGAAGAACGACGGTACGAAGTCGAGGTTTTGCTGTAACATCATTCTGGCCTCCTATGAGTGGCCGTAGCGGAGATGACGACCATCTTTGGACTTGGTATGTGCGAAAACCGACATCCTCGAGGATCGCGACTTGACTGTTAGCCTGATCTTACGATTGATGATCAACCGAGCCGTGCGAAAGGAGATTTGGACACGATCAGGTGTGGAGCAAGGTGACGTGTAGTCATGTTCGTGCGTTCGGGGAAGACTACTGGAAATGGCGAGGATGCGTTCTCCCGGGACAATTGCGATTATGTAGACATGATCAGTGACGAATTTGACAAAAAGGCAATTGCAAAGAAGGAATCTCGTTTTGGCTGTGTTTCGTGAAAGGCGTGGGTGGTCAACTATCACACGCTAGAAGCGACGAGGCCAAGGAGCTCTTCCCTCAACTCTTTCCCCGCAATCACGACGCCGTACCGTTGAGATGGCAGGAGCGGAGCTGTCATCACTCCTTCCTGCATGTCTCACTCAGAAAAGTCGTTTTCATGTGATAGGTTCGCCGGATCTTCGATTCCTAGCACCAACCGCGCTGTTTCATTCCTGTTGGGCAGCAGCAACAACAAATCAAGTGGACGTAATCACAAACGGGGGTTGCTATTGTTTTGTCTCGCGCTGTTGGCGTCACTAACTTGCAGCTGGTGGTAGACGGCCCAATGTCAGTAGTCGACGGCGCATCCGAAACAAGGCCTCGCTAGCCTTTTTCGATCCCCACTGATCAGCTTTCAGGAGGAAAGGGAGGCCCAGCGGTGTTGGCTCCTCGCCGCCCTTCTATCGTGTGCGGGTAAGTGATTCGATGAAACAAGCTGCGGTTGGTAGACAGCCAATCAGTCGTTGGAGCGAGGAAGGCCTGAAGGCAACGACGCTTTTCCATCACGAGCTGATGTCGACGACAGGCTGGTAGCGAGGCCTACGGGTCGCTAGGTACCGCCGTGTCGTCACCTGCACGAGACCAGACGCCGCAGCCACACTCACCTTATGCCCGGATCCGCCGTACTTGCGACCTTCGTCGACACCGACGCTCCGATTCCGAGAGCAACTCGCCCACGTTGTGGCGCAGCCAGCTGAACACGAGGCTACGACAGTTGCATTGGGTCGATCTCCCAGATTAGCAGCGTTCGCCGTCAGGAACCATGCATAGACCGAGGGCTGTTAATAATCAGGGTCTAATACTGTCGAGAGTAACAGAAGTGACGGCTAAAAGGTGGAGGCCCAGTAAAAGACCTCGCGCATGAGGGATACCCAGGGTGCGACGCATGAAGTTCGATGACATCGACGCGGCCGGTCGCCCACAAGGCCTGCAATCAAAGACCTCTTTGTCATTCTGGCCGGTCCGCTGCTGTCCAGACTCCAGAACTTCAGTCTGGCGCCCGTGTCGCAAACACGGCGGTAAGTAACCTCTGCGTTACCTGCAAAAAGTCGCGATTGTGCAACCTGGTTTGCTGTCGGATAAGCCATGGGCGGACGCCAGGTGTGCGTCGAGATGAGCACGTCTGCCAATGGGAGGCTCCGCAGCGGCTTTCGCGAAGGATGCTGATCGTTTCACCTTTAGCAGGCGATCGCCACTCCACACCATGGCTAGCTCTTCCCACTATGGAGTTATCGATAGGCTAGGATTCGGCATTCCCCTGCATGGTACACAGACCGTCGGCACAAACTTCAAACCTGACGTTGGCCCCCTGGCCATAGCCTCGCACCAATGCCTTCCCCTCTGAGTCGCTCTCCGCTTTTTTGTTTCAAGGACAATGCTCTTGTCATGACCACATGGCCAATGGTATCGGTATCGTGCCTGCCGAGAGCTCAGGACTTTGACGTTACACCACTTATCCTGCGCTCGTCCCCCTGCCGCTAAGCCGGGAGGGGGACGCCAGCCGAAAGAAGCCCGTCAACCGTTGCAAGAGAAGCCTTGCTCCGTCGAATAGCCTATGCTTCTTCACGATGATCCGCCGGGCATAGGCTCCTGAGTCCTTGCACTGCTGTACGAGCCCGTCCCGACCGCCACAGGCTAGCCATGTGGGTAGACATGAGCCTCCGTATATAACTGATCTGTGTTTCGTCTGCTTTTCCTTCTCATCTCAGGCTATTCACAGCAGTACCAAACTCTTCTCTGTCTCTTTTGCTTTTGCGCATCTTGCCTGTGGCAGATCACATTCTTTACCATTGCTGTGCGTCAACGAAGAGCTAGACTCAACAACACTTCTCCCGCCTATATCAAGTACTACTTGCTCTTCGGCCTTCAAACCACCACAGCCATCACATTCATTCCATCGCTCAGCAGGTCTAGCGATATCCAAACGAGAATATCTACTTCTCACATCACTCTTTTAAACATCAACATGTTCTTTTCGACCACCCTACTCGTGGCTTTCGCCGCCAGTGCCTCCGCGCACATGAGGATGAACAACCCCAAGCCCTTTGGCTTCTCGAGTCTCACCAGTTCACCATTGGAGCCAGCCGACTTCCCATGCAAGCAGCGACCAGGCGTTTACGATGTCACAGAGATGAACCAGTGGAACGCCGGCGAGACTCAAGTTATTGACTTCCTTGGCTCCGCTGTCCACGGTGGTGGATCATGCCAATTCTCCATCACCACCGACCAGCAGCCATCCGAATCCTCCCAATGGAAAGTCATTCACAGTGTCGTTGGTGGCTGCCCATCGAACGCGTCCGCTAATCTCCCGAACGAGAACCCAGACGGTACCGAGGCTGCGACCTTCCCCGTTAAGATGCCCGACAACATCCCCGACGGCCAATACACCTTCGCCTGGACATGGCTTAACAAGATTGGTAACCGTGAGTTCTACATGAACTGCGCTCCTATCCAAGTTGGAAGCGGCACTGGCAAGGCGTCTGCCGCAAGTGCATCTGAGGCTCTCTCGTCTCTACCGGACATGTTCGTCGCCAATCTACCCTCCACTTCCTGCAGCACCGCCGAAAACGAAGACTTCAACTACCCCAACCCTGGTGAAAGCCTCACGGAAGGAAACGGTGCCCACCTTGGAGACACGCTCAACGGTGCCGGATGCGACCAGATGACTAAGATGGGTGCTGGCAACGGGCAGATTGGAACACCCACACAGCCCGAGGCTTCCCAACCCGCCTCCAGTGAGGCTCCTGCCGCTACTTCAGGTTACGCTGCGCCGCCGCCACCTAACGGTGGTGTCTTCGCTCCTGGTGCTTCTTCCGCTCCAGCTGCTGAGCCCACTCCTGCTGAGCCCACCGCCCCTGTCGCTTCACCTACTTCCACCTATGTTGCTGAGCAGCCTAGCAGCGCTCCCGAGCAGCCAGCTTACAGCGCCCCCCCTCAAGCGCCCGATAACAGCACCCCCAGCGCTCCTTCAAGCGGCAGTGACTGCACTCCCTGTGACAACGATGGTGCTGTTGTATGTATCGGATCCAACATGTTCGGTCTTTGCAACCGCGGATGCGCTGTTGCTCAGCCTCTCGCCAACGGCATGTCCTGCTCTGGTGGTGCTGTCGTTGCTTCCGTCAAGCGATCCGCCAAGTTCCCTCGCGCCCACCTCCACCGCCGCCACGGCTCGTCCCTCTTCATCTAAGAGTTTCGCAGACGCCTTTACATATCCTCAACAGCCGTTGGCTACGAAATGCAATACCTGGAGTTTGGGAAACGGATCGGGGCACCCACGGATTGGGTCGCCATACAGGATGGGTTGGGTTTTGGGTCTCTTGTTCATATACCTCTTCATGATGCGCGGACGCCGTTTGGTTCTGGCTCGTGACTGCTTTTGCGCTTTACTGTTGTTACATTCATTCATGACCGGCTCTAGATTGAGCCGGCATGCCCTGTTATTTTCCTTGGAGAGAGTCGCTGTGATCTGCCTCGTGTCTACGAGCGCAACATACCCTGTACCTACTGTACAAAATCATACAAAACGATTGTTCGTTCTACACTATTTTGCTCATATGTATGAATGTCGTGACACTTGCTTACTTGCTCCCGCTTTTAGATCCTTCCTATTGTAAAACCACTCCGTACGAGAAAGAACCTGAACGGTTCTAGAGCCTACATCGACATTAGGCCAGCTCCTTTACATTTGTTCATGTTGATGTAGGCTGCAGACCTGTTCAGTTTTTTCCCAGGTTGTCGTCAATCTACCACTCAAGACAGCATGGGAAAGCCATCCAAGAGCGCCTTGTCTGCACTTCCTAATCATGATATTTCAATGACTCTATACGACTTTGGCGATAACTACAAACGTAGCGTAGCCAAGCAAAACCACGAGGCTATTCACCGGTTTATGACGTTCATGGGATGGCCGGCTCCTGATTGGGCAGCCTCTCAGGGAACAGCCAAGGGGACCAACTTCCCCTCTGATTCCCACTTTCAGCCCTAAGCTCCTGTCGCCAGCGCACACCCGAGCACGCGACGAGCCAAACGACAAATCTCCCTACGGCCAGTCGACTACTATCATTTCGTGCTGTCAGGCCCCAGAATTCTAACCGCGCCGAGGCCCTCGTTTCGCACGCCGCCGCCACTCAAGCTTAGGCGGTCATTGCGCTCGCCCCACTACTTCGCTGCCTTCACCTCCACCGTCTTCTTGTGCTCGCTCCCTACGCCTTGCTGTTCAGACCGCCCACCATGGAGAACCAACCGCAGGACGTCGACCAGTCCAAGTACATTGACAATGCTATTCGCGCCGTCCGTGAGAAGAAGCCGCTCCCTGAGATTGACTTCACCCTGCATACTATGGAGGATGGAAACCAAGTGAGCACCCAGGAACGTGTATGCAAAGGTATGCTCAATCTATACGTCGTGGCATGGCATTCCGCCAGCTTGTTCGCGTTTGCGCCGTTTTCGAGGCACACAGTCAGCTAACTGTGCCGTGTTCGCCAGACGTACAAGCACCCGCCTTCCACCCGCCCACCGACGAGCAATTCTTCTCCCCTCAAGATCGCACAAAGCCCAACATCCAATTTCTGAAGCAGCACTTCTACCGCGAAGGTCGCTTGACCGAACAACAGGCGCTATGGATCATAAAGAAAGGCACAGAGATCCTCAAGTCGGAACCCAACATGCTTGAGATGGACGCACCCATTACCGTGTGCGGTGATGTTCACGGGCAATACTACGATCTCATGAAGCTGTTCGAAGTCGGTGGCGATCCAGCAGAGACGCGCTACCTCTTCTTGGGAGACTACGTCGATCGCGGCTATTTCAGTATAGAGGTAAGACGGCAGGAAAGCAACCGCTGTGCATTGGCTGACACTCGCAGTGTGTTTTGTACCTCTGGTCGCTGAAGATCTGGTACCCCAACACCCTCTGGCTTCTCCGAGGAAACCACGAGTGCCGCCATTTGACCGACTACTTCACATTCAAGCTCGAATGCAAGCACAAGTACTCCGAGGCCGTGTACGAAGCCTGCATGGACTCGTTCTGCGCACTTCCCCTAGCGGCTGTTATGAACAAGCAGTTCTTGTGTATACACGGTGGATTGAGCCCCGAGCTTCACACTCTAGACGACCTGAAGAGCGTACGCGGAACTCCACCCTTTCTAACGCCATCGCTAATCTCATCAGATTGATCGTTTCCGCGAGCCACCCACCCACGGCCTCATGTGCGATATCCTCTGGGCTGATCCCCTCGAGGAATTCGGTCAAGAGAAGACCAACGACTTCTTCGTCCACAACCACGTCCGCGGATGCTCATACTTCTTTTCGTACCCCGCTGCGTGCGCTTTCCTCGAGAAAAACAACCTTCTGTCAATCATCCGCGCGCACGAGGCGCAAGATGCTGGATACCGAATGTACAGGAAAACACGGACGACTGGTTTCCCCAGTGTCATGACAATCTTCAGCGCGCCGAACTACCTCGACGTATACAACAACAAGGCTGCGGTTCTGAAGTACGAGAACAACGTCATGAACATCCGACAGTTCAACTGCACACCGCATCCATACTGGCTGCCTAACTTCATGGACGTCTTCACATGGTCATTGCCATTTGTTGGCGAAAAGAGTGAGCAGAAGTACCAATTCACATTGGAGTATCATACTAACAAGTCGTAGTTACTGACATGCTCATTGCGATTCTAAACACCTGTTCGAAGGAGGAGCTCGAAGAGGAGACGCCCAGCTCTCTGGCTTCCGGTCCATCATCGCCACCTCTCTCCAGTCTCGACCCAGATTCGACCGAGTTCAAGCGACGTGCAATCAAGAACAAGATTCTGGCGATTGGTCGCCTCTCTCGTGTATTCCAAGTGTTGCGCGAGGAGTCTGAGCGTGTCACTGAGCTCAAGACTGCATCGGGTGGTCGACTTCCTGCGGGTACGCTCATGCTCGGTGCGGAGGGCATCAAGCAGGCGATCCACAGCTTCGAGGACGCACGCAAGGTCGATTTGCAGAACGAGAGGCTCCCACCGAGCCACGAGGAGGTGCGAAAGTCTCAGGAGGTTAGCCGAGAGCAGGCTCTCGAGAAGGCCACCAAAGAAGCCGACAACGACCAAGGTCTCGCGACTGTCGCAAGACGCATCAGCATGTAAGCATCGATCCTACGTAGCTTGTCGTGCAGTAACTAATTTGCATAGGTCATCTGGCTCTGGACGCAGCCGGAGAAGCTAGGCGCGATTCAAGCGCTCGCGATCCGAGAGCGAAGCTGATAGACGAGCTATGACATTGCAGGATGTTTAGGTTCTTGATTTCTGTATTGGCGGGCCACCAAATGTCATCAGTATACCACGTAGGCGTATTCGGGCCAGCGTAACCTAGAGAGGGCATCACCTTACGAAGCACGGTAGTAATTTGTCGGTCGACTGCTCAAGTTTAAGGGCGTCGACCTCTCATTGAATCACATAAAATCAAATTCCTATGACACCAGTGTACAGCCACTTGCTCCGTGTGAATGTGTATGAGACTGCGCACGGACCCGGACCGAAGCTAGCTTTGCCGACCTACGTCAACATGGACATTTCAACAGCAATGCTCAACTTCAAGCCCGATGCCTCCATGGGTGGCCTCAGTGCCGCGACTGACGATCTTTCGCAAGACAGGACCGACTGATCGACTCCCGCTTGCGCGTCGCTGTCGCAATGTCCTTACTTCACGCCCGACCACCAGCCTCCGCGTGCGCTCCGCATCGACGCATGTCTCCCCGACCGCGATAAATCTGCGCCCGCACATCCCACCTCGGAACAAGGAGTTGTACGATGCACTGTCAGCGCTTAGTGGAGCCGCCGAGACCTACGTCAATATAAGCAGATTGCAATTGGCATTGCGGGGTCTGGCGGCGCAGGATGCTGTAACAAGAGTCGCTGGTACGGAACGCGCAGTTGAATTTGACGACTAGGGACTGACGATGGACAGTTCTCGGTTTGAACAGCCAATTGAGTGCGCAGCAGCTTGCACGGCTACTACTCGCAGATCCGCTCAGTGCGGAGGAGCAGTGGGAGAAGGAACTCGTGAAATCAGGCGACAGCAACGAGAGAGCGGTATTGCTAAAGTATGTGCTGATCTGCCATACTGAATAGCGCACCAGCTGACATGATTATTGTACAGATACGGCGACGATGTCGATGCACATGCGCCTTCGCCCCTCTACAAGGTCCTCTCCATACCCTCACGAACCCTGCAATCGCACAACCTAGAGGTTCTCGTCTCGACGATCAACGTCAATGTCGCAAAGTCCCTACCTCATATGGTTACAGAGAGCTCCACCGAATCGTTGCTGGTTCCCAAGCTCCAGGCCACTTCCGCACGAGGATTGCCCGTCCCATACCCGGTACACAAGACTCTAGTATTAGGAGAAGGACTGGACAGCGCCATAGCATTTGGAAGATTCTCGGCGGATGGGCTGAACGAGATGGATGATATGGTAAAGATGGCCGTCGACCTCCCCGCCCCGTCGGACGAAGTCAAGTCAGATACCCACGCCGCAAGCGCTCCCATCAACCTCCAAGTCGGCACGAAAGCGCTCGACAGCTTCCGCGAGTCGATCCAAAATTCCACCATCTATGAGCGAGGGTGGTTCAAAAGTGGTTTGCCAACGCTGTCGGAGTGGTTAGTCCAAGACCTTCAGGCCACAGACGCCATCAAGTCCCCGATGAAGACGCTTGTAGCTTCTATAGCCGACGACGTAGAAGCGAGCATCACCAAACAAGACGCCGCTCGATTGCAACAGCTTGCTCCAGTCCAGACACAATCAGACGTCACAACCTCCATCGTCGGTCATCTTGAAACATGGGCCGAGAAGTCTCATGCGGAGCTCCGTGACGAGCTTGATGAAGCCTTCACTGCTCGAAACTGGCACAAGTTGGCTTGGTGGAAGCTCCTCTGGCGTGTGGACGACGTCACGATGATAAGCTCCGAGATCCTCGAGCGGCGATGGCTCGTTTCAGCGGAGAAGAACAGCATCTACCTCGCCGGTCGCATGAATCAAGCTGGATTCCCAGATGACGTCCAACATCTCGCCGTTGCCGACATCCCTGAAGTGACAACGCAGGACACAGCGCCGACAGCAGAGAACCCGCGAACAGATCTATCCACCAACGTCCGGAAACCAATACCATGGCCCGAACACATCGCGGCTGCTCGCACAGAACTCATCAACGACACCGTGCCACCTCTGCAGGCACTCGCTCAACGACTTCTCCTACAGACCTTCAGCACAACTTCCCTCTCGTCCGCTGCCTCGGCACTGCTCTACGCGTCCATGTCTACCTTCTCCGTCTTCGAGGCTTCAGCCGTCGCGGCACTCGGTCTCACGTTTTCTCTTCGCCGCATGCAGAAACTATGGGAAGGTGCTAGAGAATCATGGGAGGGTACCTTGAGAGAAGAGGGTAGACGCACGTTGAAGGGTACAGAGGAGAGAGTCAGGTTCATCATCAAGAATGGAGGGAAAGAGTACGTTGAGGATGAAGGTGTAGCTGAGAGGAGAGCAGCGAGGGAAGCTGTAGCAAAGGTCAGGGAGGCACTTGAGCGGATGGACGGTGGGGATGGCAAGGGCAGTGTATGATAGATATGTATGAACTTGATTCAGTGTCGAGGAACAGTCTCTGTCGTAGTCGAATCAGAATTGGCGATTTCTCCAGTTTACCTCCTCTCTCGACTCAAATATTCTGCTGGTTAAGAGTTGCCTGTATTGCAATGTCTGAGTGAAGTGGGGTGACACGATCTCAGCGCAGGTTGCGCATTGCAGGTTGCCTGCAGGTTGCTTATTCACTACAACCTGCCAACATCCTATCTTTTTTCTAAAACTAAATGTAGCCTGAATCAGTGCGAATTCGCGCCGATTTGGAGTGATTCTGCCTTATTCACTAACTTTCTGTGGCGTACTCTTGCAAGAGTACGAGGCCGTCACTGTAGTGTTGCCTACAGTACGTGACGGTGCCTTACTGTGCAGCATCGTCCATCGTGGCCGCCTAGCCTGCTCCACAGGTCTTAACGAAGCCTTGTCTGTACATAGACAGAGCTTACAAGGTCTTCTTCTGCACAACATCTTGTGTTATATATAGAGAGAAGAAGACGCACGCACACATTCTAGGAAGTAGCACACTTAAGCTGTAGAGGTATAAAAGGTAAAGGTAGATACTTTTATTCTGGGCGCACAAGGCTAGCAGCTAGCTATAAGTTATCTCAAACCGTGAGCAGCCTGTAGACCTAAGTGGTGACTTAGTGATAAATAGCTTAGAAGAAAAGAAAAATAGAAGAGACCTCCGGAACAAATAGAAATCCAAAAATGCAAATAGTTAAGAAGCTAATTGCCGGCTAGACACGAAGCTTAGGCATACGCCTAACAAACTCTAAACAAGAAACCCTAATGTCTGACCTTGCCACCTAGTTTGTGATAAAGCCGCTTGCAAAAAGAAAAGCACCGCAACATAAGGGAAGAGGATGTCTGTGTTCATGTAGTTAGCAAGAGCAAAGACGAAGGGGCTCTATAGATAGATAGAGAGCAGCAGGACTTACTAGAAGATGAGAGGGAAAGTGAGGAAGACATTGGTTCCTGTTCACTTCCGCGGGCTTCCTAGGGCAGAAAGGTTAGCAGTATTCGAGACGCAGTTTTGCGGGAGAGAAGAAAGTCTTACAGGTTCTGTGGCCTCTTAGCATGATGTTCTCTTCTTCCAAAGAGTCGTCTTCTAAGCAGCCTTCTTTCCCTTCTTCTTAGTAGCTCTAAGAAACTTGAAGAAGGCAATTTGGCCATCGAGCTTTTTCTCGTTCCAGGTTTTCCAATCTCGGAGAAGCTTGCGCTTCTCCTGGCGGCTACCAAAGCTCTTTGTTACATTCATCTTGTAACGTGTGCGGTCATCTTCCAGAAACAGCGCTTGGTTGATTGGTCTTCCGTGACAGTCATGCGATACTTGTATCAAAACGCTGAACTGTGTAGAGTCAGCGTGGTAGTTTGAGTGACATGCTGGTTTACTGACGCGCGGATGCTCTCCATCGTTCCGAGCGGGTTCTCCTTCTTGAGGGACATCCTCTTCCTTATCTGATGTCAGTACCTTCATAGCTCAGACAGTTTCTGGACTCACTCTGTCTTGGTTCCTGACCGTCGACTCGCTCGCAAACCTGTTCTTGAGGGGTTCGTCATCGTCGGTGTCTTGTTCTTGGTCGTTTCCGGCGAGGTCATCACTATCTTCCACAAGAATAGGATGCCGTGCCGAGCCCCAGTCATTAGCTGAAGGCGTGGATGCCATAGCTACCTAGGTAAGGTCGAAGAATTATGTGACGAAGTTGCTTGGGTGTGGAATGTTGGGTGTGGAATGTTGGGTGTGGAATGTTAGGGGTGGAGAGTATGGAAGTAAACCCCAAATCACAAAAGACGAGATTATATAGTACCTCTTCTCCCCCGTCTACCAGCGGTCAAATTATTAGGCATCTGTCTCTCACTCTAGATGTGGTAGGTGCGTTGCCTACCCCGCATTTACAAAAAAGAGATGAGAAGCTATAGGTGAAGGCAAAGGGCGGTATGTTGTGAGCAACATGAGCTAGCTGGCGGTGTCTGAGGGACAGACAGCGAGTAGCTCCTAGCCGTGGGAGAGCAGCGTTTGTAACGGGCGGAAATGAACAGGCCAACAAACACAGACGCCAAGGGCGCAGTGACGGTGGGAAAAGGACTGACGTTGAGTGGAAGTGGATGATGGGCAGGCTCAGCCGCAACTTAGTCACCTACTTTGAACAACAAGATAAGCACACAAAGTGACAGGCGTAATAAGAGTGTTGGACATGAAGTGTATGATTTGAAGTTCAACTTTAATTATGATCCGAATAAACACCAAACAAACCGAAGCGCTAGCTAGACATTGTAGTGACTGTGCAGCAACGCTGTACACAATACCAAATGAGTATACTCGCAAAACATCAAAACAGAATGCTACTGTGTACGACCACTCCATCGCAGACCCATCTAGAAGATCTCGCCAAGTCGAGGCTTTCCACCCTTCCAATCATTGCGCTCGTAGTATCGGAAGACAAGATCGTAGCCATCCAAGTCATGTACAATGCGGTCGACGCGACGGTATCCCGCAATTGTCTCCATCCTCTTCGCCTTCTCAATGTTCTTGGCGGGCATCTCGTCAGCAGTAGGCTTAGCCTCGAAAAGAGTGACGCTGAACCTGCCAGGCTTGAAGATGCCGACGACATGCTCGACAACGTCAGCCGTCTCCCTACCAGTCTGGCGGGCAGGTACATTGGTCTCGAACGAGGCGTAGGAGCACTGGGGCTCAGGTGTGACGTGTACAGTGAAGTAGTGGGTGGCATCAGAGCCCTTCTTGGAGCCGTTGGGAGCACCACCTGGGGCGGGAATGACGCCGTTGGCAGAGAAGCCACAGGGCGTGAACAGGTAGGCGTCGATGCGGGCGTCGGGGTACTTGGAGGTAGGGTAAACATCGGCTAGACCACAGTGCTCAGAAACGACCGTGCCGAGCGTGTGGCCCTCAGTGGTCAACTCCTCAGGGAAAGTAAGCTCCTCATCAGAGTTGAAACCAGAGTGGTCAGAAGAAGTCTGCTCAAACACGTCGAAGCTGTCATCGGAGGTGTGGGTGTTAGCAGCAGAGTTGAGGACAGTAGAGCCGCCGAGGCTCTCGCTGTGACCATTCTCTTCCGCAATGGTACCTAGGGATTGGATGGCGTTCTTGCGAGCCTCACGGGCCCTCTGGATGTAGCGACCTTCCGCAACCGCACTTGCGTCCTCTAGATAGAACTGACGGGCGTTCTTCTCATCGAGGTCGGTCATCAGGATCTCCAGAGTCTCGTCCTCTTCTTCGTCGGTTGCCTGCTCACGCAACATGCGTTGAGGGTGGCTCACGAACTTTGTCTCGGTATCAGGCGCAAGCTTCTCCTCACCAGGACTGGGAGGTGGAGTGAGGCTGGTGTCTGGACCGGTGATGTAGAGGTACCAATGCTCGCCGTTCATCTTGCCTATCATATAGGCACTACCGCCCTGGAAGCGGTCGTCAAGGTAGCGAACCTCATCACGCCAGCTGCGGTGGGGTCCACGCTGCTGATCGGGGTAGAGGTAGTTCTTCCTGCTGTAGAACACGCGGTATGGTGTGGCGGCTGGCGCGACGCCTGATGCCTTGGGTGCAACGAAGGGGAAGCCGACCCCTGCAGCAATCTCCAGCATGCGGGTGAGACCCCATAGTAGAGTTGTGGTTCCGCAGGTCTTGAGCACGACCTTGTGAGGAAAGACGAACATGCTCGACTCGGACAAGAGGTAAGCGTCGACATGTTCAGACTCGATGACAGAGAGAACCTTGCAGTTGACAAGATCGAGCATGTCCTTCCAGACATCTGCCGAAACCGTCTTCAGTCCAGTTGGGCCGGCCTGTCCAGGCAGTTCGGTAGCAGAAGCGCTAAACCATACTTCCAAGAGCTTCTCAGGACCCTCAAACGAGTTGGTAGAGTCGAGATCGATGGTAGCCTCCTTGTTGATGGTCAAATGAGGGGTGCCAATGTGCGACGAAGGCGAGGCAGTGTAGTGCTGAGGAATCTCAGTAGCGACCATCTCTTGACTGTGTGGCTGTCGCGCGCACGAACAGATATGATAGGTGTGGTTGGTGGCCGTGGCTGTACGGAAGCTTGGAGAGGTGGCTAGCTAGGAAGCTATGTGCAGCACAACCTCGCTCAGACAAGCAATGCGGTGCTCGCCTGAGAAGAATTGGCCCACGGGTCGCAAAGAGTAGGCGAGGCTGGCGTGTGCCAGCAGCAGTTTATGGAGGAGAGGGTAACCGACCGTAGTCGATGTTAGGGAGGTCGGGCGTTGAGGGGAATAAACGAGGCCTTTCGCCGGGAAATGGTGGCAGTGGTTGGGGTCCTCGCGATACCAGATTCCGATACCCTGGGCAAGTATCGGGTCCAGCAGACGAGGAGATCTGCTTTAGATGGGTACGATGGTGGGTGGTGAAGGACGGGGCGTGGCGGGTGTTATCGAGGCCTGTGAATAGTCAGCGCTGGCCCTTGGAATGTCTTGCACACTGCTTCTCGCGGAGACAACGACTCACTTCGCAGGCTTGGACAGAAAGCGTACCAGGTCCTCGCGACGCATAGAAGAGCCGAGGTGGGCGGCGATAGACGGTCTGCGGGCTACTGAAGCCTAGGCAGTGGTGGAGAGGGAGGAGAGTAGGTCTGCCAGCGTGACGATGTAGGTTTGGTGGGGAGCGTTGAGCAGAGAGTCAAAGCAATGGCGTTGGGCGCTGATAGAATCTGCGTGAATGAGCGGGCGGACGTGACGAGGTTATATTCCCACACGGCAGGCGCGAGAGAGATGGGCGTGTGCAGAGTGTCAGGAGAGCGACGTACTGTGCGCAGTGGATGCAAGCTTCACTAGGGGAATTTGACGTGTGTGGTGCTGGGGCGACGTCGTGGAAGCTTCGGGCCTTCACGCGACAGCGATTTTTCACGAGTGCGGTGTTTTCGCATCAGGACGTCACCGCCCGTCCCAGTTGGCTGGAGCGCCCCGCCGTCTGCCATTTCACCCGACTCGGCTACCCGCCATGTGCCTGACACAAGACGCGAATAGGTCCGACTGCCACTGCTGCCATGATCGGCTGCTGCTATGTACATCAGGGAACATGCTGCCTCTGCCATTCCACACTACGCCCAGCTGGGGTTAGCAGCACATGATCACGGCTTTACACGTACGTACCAATGGTACCTGATCTCACCAGCACAGCCTTACGCCCTCAATCAGAACCCGATGGGCATGTAGTCTATGCTCCTTCGTAATCTCCGTCGTCAAAGTATCCCAATTCTGATGCAGCTGCTCTACATCACTGCGTGCGACCACCTATCACAGCCAGGGCGAAAACTCACACCATCCAATATAGCCAAGTTGATTGTATTGCCCGGAATAATAATCGCACGAACTGCGTATACATGTATAACACCTCCTCATAAGAACACCAGGCCCTATGACGCCAGCACAGCCCCTGCAACAAGCAAGCATACTCCCAGTACTTGTGACTACGGGCCGAAACACCAGGCGCACCCGTCCGTCTTTGTTCCAGCTTAATCGCATACAACAAACCTGATATATCTATATCCTGAATCAACACTTATTACCACCTAACCTTCCCGTTCAGGCATCTTCAACTTCAGCTTTCCTCTATTGATCATCATCTCGAAACATTCTCTCAGATCCAATACTAGCGCATCTGGTGCCTCGAAGCCTGGCAACATTGCGGGGCGGCCAGCATGGCGCTTCGCCCAGGATATGTCCCAGGAACGTGCACCCCATATTAGCGGTGTTGCGGTGCTGCTGTTAGGATGGAGGAACGTGGAGATGCCAAGGGGAGTGGATGTGAAGGGTTGGTAAGAGGGGGATTGCATGTCGATGTGCGCGCGGCGGAGCCAGCGGAGGGCCTATTTGTCGTCAGACGTCAGCGGTGAGGAACTTCAGACGAAGAGTTCAAGGGTACACCAAGATGGGCCTCAGCAGATCTTCAGGTGGCAAAGAGTACGTCACAAACAGCGGCGAGTGCCTCCCGGCCTCCTCATAACAACCGCTTCAGGTATATGAAAAAGGTAACGTACCGCTTCAGGCCCTGGTAACCATTGCAACATTGTAAAGTTCAGCACCTCCGTAGGACTCCATGTATAACTTTTCCCATCGCCGTCCACTCTATCTGGGCTCGTCGCACCTCCAGGCTGTGCCGTAGATGTCGAAGGAACATCCTCCTCTTCCTCCTGCTCTTCCTCGCCCCGCTGCATCTCTAGCTCAACCGGTGAAAGAAAGGGACTTCTTGGCCGCGACGAGAGAGGACGCGGCGGTACATCTCTCGTATGTATTATATCGAGCAACGCGGCGAGCAATCCCACTGGCGAGTCGCATAAAGAGAAGGCCAATGTCTGCGGCCGAAGCGAGTAGAGACGATGCAGCGTAGGTCCTAACGGCTCACCGCCATACACTGCATCCAATGTTGCCGGGTCTTTACCATGCAGGCCTTTCGAAGGTGTCTGCACTTCATTCGGCATATATCCAAAACTCAGTAACGGCACCTTTGCCCGTGTCAGCTTCGCAACCCGGTACTTGAGATACCGCATCGGCCCGCTCTTCAAGTTCGGCTTGTCAAACGATGGATTCGTAGTATGCACCGCCCGACAACTCTCTGGATGTCTCAATGCCAACGCGCGACATATACCAAATCCCCTGGAAGACTCGTCAGCAACCACGTAGCCAAAGTCAAGACCACGAAAATATGTGACTTACCATCCCGTTCCATGAGCGACGAATTGTGCATATCCCAATCTCCCCATCAACCTCTGGAACACATCCGCTGTCCCATGCAGACCAAACCCTTCTTCCATACTTGCATCACTAAACCCAAACCCCGGTATACTCGGCGCCACAACATGGAACGCCTGCTGTGCACTGTTCGCATGCCCTGGCAGAGAGTGTGGATCCGTCAGCCCATCAATGACGCGTTGGACCTCGATAAACGACGACGGCCACGTGTGGCAGAGAAGCAATGGGATGGCGTTGGGGTGTTTAGATCGCTTGTGTACGAAGTGTATGCGTAGGGATTGTGTGGTTCCAGGAGATGTAACAGAGGGTATGGTGATGGTTGTGCGGTATTGAGGGAGAGTCGAGTTGAAGCGCGATTCGGCGGCGCGCCAGTCGTAACCTTCGAGCCTGCTTGAATGTTAGTATTTGTGAAGGTCGGATGTGGAAGAAAAATGAAACATACCAAAAGTCCAAGAGCGGCTCAAGCACACTCTTCGGTGTACCTTGCTCCCATATCCTCTCATCTGGCAATTCTAGTTCACGCGGTAGACGTGTCAACTCTAACTTCTTCTTGGTGAGCTCAAGGTATTTGGCGGAGACCTGTTTTACAGTTAGACTTCCCGGCTCAGTAATAGGTGGATTGTTAGGAGACACGCACATGCATGCTGTACGTGGTGATGGCTTCATCGTCGTGGGGTGCGGATGTATTCATGATTGCAGAGGTAGATTAGGTATTGGAGTGAATCTGTTCTGTTCGTTAATGCCAGTCGCAGGGCCGGGTTGGTAGGGCGCAACTATAGATACCTGTCATGTATATCCTGTCTCCGTCCAACTGTCGCATCTATACGCAGCAGCCTTAATGTATTCACGAAGAGTTTGCTACCAAAGGATCAAGACGCGGAGATTAATGCAAAAAAGTATAATGGACACTATTAGGTTGCGGGAGCACTACATGATCATGGGGTACCTCCACTTAACCTTGGAACACTTTCGTCCGTCGCGAACGCATAACAAGATAAGATCGTCCTGAGGCACGTCAGAACAGCCTGGAGCTTGCGCGTTTTGCTTCATTGTAGAGCCATGAAACGAATCTAGGGTCGCTTGTAGATGTCCTTACACTGTTGTTGGCTGTCTATCTCTAGCGCACCAAGATGTGGCGAGTGTTGTGGCTGTGCAGTCGAGCCCGAATGATCGGCAAACGTCAGGGTCTAATTAGGATAAAAAGCCTAACCCGCATGCCAGGCACACCAATGAGCATTCGCGATGCCATAAACCTTCTCGAAAACGATGGAAGTTGTGGCCAATATTCGCCATGTGGCTGAAATAACATTGCCGTGACATTTGTTACACGTCTCTAACTGTGTTGGCGCCGGCATTACCGCTGCTCGTTGGGGAGCGTTGCGCGCCTTGGGTTGCAACTCCGCGAAGATTCAGGGAGCCAATTCGCTGCACAAGATTCGTCCCGACTGCATCTACAGCCCCTCTTGGCTGCAGAAGTGAGGGCGCTGTGGCCGCAGCTTCTTGAACCTTGAACAACCTTATGCTAGTGTTGTTCCATACCCCGGCAGTACCCTTGGCTACGACCATCTCGGCTGCGAAGACGAATCCCCAGAGTAGCGATTCATACCAACCCAGAGATAAGGCCGACCACTCGAAGAGGTGCACCCTGATAGGCGAAGGCTCAATTCCACGCACCTCGGTCTCGCGTATAGTTTTCAACGCCGCGGCCGTGTCATTGGCGCTGCCTGAGCTGGGCATCTTAGGACCGAGTTCCGATATCAGCATGAGAATAGTATGCATCGGTAGTTCTGAAAGCCATCCTTCCAACTATAGAGGTTAGTAAAGCTTGTGGTCTGTACAGTGCAAACTTACCCATGGGACGGAGGGAGTAAAGAACTCATTAGTGGCTAAGGCTGGGCCCGCCAGACTATGGAGACTTGTCATACTGTTCTGCCGAGAAAAGGCAGGTTGGCCAACTGGCATCTTGCCCCTTGCCTTCTCCGACATGCCCCTTACTTGAAGCGGCACAGAGTCGTCTATAGATGACGCTATGGATGCGCTTCTTGACGCGCTTCTCGAAGCTCCTGACTGTGATGGGACGGGGGATCTTGATGGCTCTGATGGACGTGCATCTTCTGCGTCTGAGTCATCGTCGTCGCCAATAGCGAAAGCACTATCCTCTTCCGGTACATTGCCTAGAGTAGGTGTGCGAGCTACCGTAGGACTTCTAAGGCTGTCGATGGAATTAGTCCGTGTGAGGTCTTCGCCGCCTTCTTTACGTTGCTGGTTCTGACGCTCGATTTCTTCTTGGCCGCTCTCCAACGTGAAGTCTCGCAGTGCCTGGAACCTTTTCCGCGATCTCACGATAGCGTACACCAGGTTTGGGTTGTCTAAAGATAGTTAGAACAAGTAAAAGAGGGCCAGGGTTGCTGATCTTACGTGGGTATTGATGCTCAATCATAGCGTTGAGAACTTCTAACAATGATTGCAGAAGAGTGTGGTTGTTTTCGTTGGCGAATAGGAAGCTAGGAGATGACATGGACGCAAAGAGTTGGAGCAATTTAGAGCTCGAGGCGCGTCCGATGTTCTGAACGTAAGCCGCGATGTTGTTGAGAATTGCGAGCAAAGCAGGGTAGATAGCGTCTAGCCTGCCTTTACCGGTGGTGAGTAGGGTATATATAGACTAGCACAGTCAGCATATGTATTAATTCTAATAGTGATACATACCGTGATGACATAGTCGGCGTATGTGCCATGAAAGTTGGGTATGCGTATGCTAGCCGGAAGCGACTCTTGCCCTTCAAATGTCTTGTTGAGGCTCTTGCCAAACTGTGGTTCGACACTCAACGTCTGAAGCACGAAGATGCACATGCGCACAAGACCCTGCTTTGACAGATCATTCCGCTGATCGATGGCATAGTAGAGCACCAAGACGACGAAATCGTGGGCCCTATCGGTGTCAATGATGAAGGAGCGGAAGCGCTTATTGCACTGCAGTGCCTCCCAAAAGAGCATGATCATTTCGGGTGCCCAGGTCAGTGACTTGTGGCTGCCAGGGAGATAGGAGGTGTTGGCTTGAAGCTAGTCTGTATCAGCGAGAGAAAACAGTGTGTTGAACATGTTGCATACCGGCTGATTCAGTATTCTCGTCATACCATCAACCAGGAACTGGAAGTCTTGGGGACGGTGTAAACGACCGAGGAAATGGCGGAAGAAGTTCTTCGGCGCCGGACCGTTGCCAGACTCGGGTATAGGGTACAGAACGAGGACGAGGAGTAACTGCAAGCAATAGGTAACTAAAACCTGTCGCTGGTCCTTGAAGACGACGTGGTCGTATGGCACGCGCCATGTTGCAGGGTTGTATTTGAGGGTCTGCGAGAATCAGTATTGCATAACAGAGCATATCGAGGCACTCACGGTATTGAGCAGCGAGCAGAGGACGGACAGAACGACCTGCTTGTCGGGACACGTCGCAATGTAGGTGATGGCCTTTACGCCCTTGACTGGCAGCACGCCCGCCGACATGTACATGGACTTGCTAGCCAGTGTAAGCAGCAAACGCAAGATTTCGGTCCTGTTGCTCTCAAACTCCTTGGTCGAGGCGACGGGCGTATTGCAGCCAACGCCACTTTGCCATATCGCATACGAGACCTTGTTCTTGCCAGCCGCGACTTTAGGGAGGGTGAAGTCAGAGAAGAAGAGCAGGTCAATCAGCGTATCGATGATCTCCTCGGCCAGCGGCTTGGCTTTCTCGAACTCGGGCTCCTTCTCGGTGGGCGTCTGCTCAGGGTCGGCCTCGTCGAAGATGATCTCGCTTCGCACCAGCTGGCCCCGCCGACTGCGCTTCCGCCGCGCGGCCCAGAAGAATTGGTCCTCCCATGTCTCGAGGTGGTCGGCTTCATGCAAGAAGGGCAGCAGTCGCGTGAGGACCCGTATGCAGTTGAGGGCGTCGCGCTCCGGGGCCAGCTCGGGGTCGGGGAAGGAGGGGTGGTTGCGCAGGACTATGAGGCGCGAGGTGACGGCGAGGATGAGCGTCTCGAGATTGGCGAGGTTGTTGTCGCGGGTGCGGCGAATGTCTGCGGGCGAGAAGAGCGAGAAGACATCTTCCGTCGACTCGGGCAGCTCCCAGAACTGGCGCCGTCGTCAGTACAGCAACAGCACAGAGGGCAGAGGGCAGGGCAGAGCATACGCCAGTCCAATAAGCGTCGTCGGCGGGGATCTGCTTGGGCTCAGACAGGCGGAAGACGCCCTGCTTGAAGGACAGTTTCGAGTCGGATGCACCCATTGGCAAGCATGTCACGGCGTCATGTGCGCATTCTAGGTGCGGTAGATTGACACAGTAGATGTGGTGAGAGCAGCCTCGCCGAGAGTGACGTCGGCAGCGCCCCCGAACAAACGCCGGCTATTCACATGCTTTCGCGTCTGGGCGCGTTGCCAGTTCAGACTCACCACCCAGTCGAGTACATCTTCGTCGTCTGCTCAGACCAGCACAGTCATCGTCTGCTCCACGCTCAGTGACCGTCCAGAAGTTGCATTTGGGTCCAGACGCGAATGCAGGTGCCATACGTCATTACATAATCACCGCGGCGCCTTTCTTTCCCTGTGCCTGCTGCCTCCGCCACCGACACTCCACCCGCGACCGCTGCACGTCCATACCACCCGTCGATATCTTGTCGCTCCCACCGCTCGCCTATTCTCGCACCCGTATACTACAGAGATATATACTGAGGCTCCGTCTTTCAGCAGCAGGCGGCCGCCACGATGCCACCCAAACGCAAGCTAGCGCAGACGGCAGCAGACGCAGAGGCCGAGGATGGCTGGGACGACAACGATGAGGGCCCCATGAGTGATCAGGAGACGTTCGACCAGCTCAAAGAGGAGTTCGACGTCAAGGCCATGACAAAGCGAGCGCGCGCTGGTAGGGTCAGAGACGCAGCGGCCGATCTCTTCAGGAAGTCAGACCAGTGGAGTGCGGAGCTGAAGCCTGACCATCACAATCGCCCGCTCTGGGTCAACGACGCGGGTGGAATCATCCTCGAGTCCTTCCATCTTCTCTTCGATGAGGCCCAGGACTTTTTGATCAACATCGCCGAGCCGCAGTCGCGTGTTTCCAAGATGCATGAGTACCAGCTTACCACCCACAGCCTCTTCGCCGCCGTCAGTGTTGGGCATTCCAAGCAGGAGATCATAGACAAACTCGACCGCTACTCCAAGACAGCTCTGTCCGCCGCCATCATGCAATTCGTCGAAAAGTCCACCTCCGCCTTCGGCAAGGCCAAGATCGTGCTCAAGAAGACATTGTCGTACATTGAGAGCGAGGACCCTACCATACTACAGAAGCTTCTACGCGATCCTGTGGTCGCCGAGTGTCGGGCAGATTCAACAGACGGTCTCATCAAGGAGGCCGCCCCCAAGATTGGTCAGATGGCTATTCCGGGTACCAAGCTCGCTGCTGGTGCGAACAACATGGCACAGCAGCAACAGCCAGAAGCTGTACAGCAGCCGCCGCCAAGCGACATGATCGCCACGCTTCGAGAAGACGACGACGATGACGAAGTGGCCCAAGTCCACTCGTTTCAAATCAGAAGCGAAGAGCGCGAAAAGGTCGTCAAGCGCTGTCGGAGCATCGGTCTGCCGCTCACGGAGGAATACGACTTCAACAACGACGATACCAACCCGAACCTCGAAATCGATCTCAAACCCCACGCGCAA